ACAATATATATATATATATATATATATATATATATATATATATATATAGTCACAACCCCTCGTTTGTTGTGCTCTTCTCTCTCTTATGACATGAGTATTACCTTAGTATACAACGTTCATCGCCCTTTCCTTTTACTCCATGAGAGTTATAAATATCATGCCAAAGATTAAAAAATAAGTTCTTACCCCAATATTTGCATGAATCAATTGTCAACTGTCGAACTGTAAGTGTATTCCTGACTGAACGACCAATAGCAACCCAAACACAATACCATATGCAAAACAATCTTGCATGATGACATAACCCAACACTTAGACTCCCTTGACTCAAATAATAGAGTTTTATAATAACCAATTACCCGAATTCTGCCTTCACCAATCGTAATACAACTCTTACTACCTAACAACTCTGCAATGGTTGAAACTAGTTTAATTTTCATGATTATCTGTAGAGGTACAACTACAACATAAAACTGTAATTCATAATTGTTCGACTTAAAAATACCCATAAGAAATAAAATATAAAAAATATTCCGTTTAAAAAAAATCTCCTATAATATTCCTCTAATTTTAAAATTTTTAGTTTATTCCAGGATTGCCGGCGTTCGGGACGGGCCGAACACCCGAACCCGAACGCCCGAACGTTTGGGACCCCCTCTCGACCCGTTCGGACGTTCCGCTGAACGCGGAACCAAAAAAAAAAAAAAAAAAAAAAAAGTCCAAAAATTCTGAAAAAAACATATGTCATGCAAAAGAATAAACTAAATAACATTTGCCTTAACCGTACATCCAAATTCCTTACCAAATTTGAAATAAAAATCAAATACGAAAAATAAATAAAATATTAATGAAAATAAGAAAAAATAAAACGAGAATGAAATTATTGCGTGGGCGAGCAAGTTTTTGACACCGCCATCTTTGGCGATTTTTCATTTTTTTTGGCTCTGTCAAATGCCATGAAATTTTATACACATGTATCTTACATAATAGAGAACCTAAAAATAAAGTTTGAAAAAATAATAATTTTTTTTCAGACCCCGAAATAAAAGGAAAACAAAAAGTGAAAAGAGAAAAAAAAACAAATTAGTAAGTGGAAAAGCAAGTTTTGACACCACCATCTTTGCCGCTTTTTCATTACTGTTTAGCTCCACAGAATTACTTCAAAATTGAGAGACAGATAGGCTACATAACAAAGAACTCGAAAAAAAAAATCAGAAAAAATAATAATTTTTAGGTACCAAAATTATTTTTTGCGGGGTCCGAACCCCTTCGAGTTCGGGCCCCGTACGGGGACCCGAACGCCTGAACGTTCGGGGGTCAGCTTAGGGGCCTCCGTACGTTCGGCCTGGCAACCCTGGTTTATTCGATATTTTTACAGTTAAAAATGATTTTTTCCTTGCAACTGCATCAATTTATTGAAAATGGTATAAAAGCTTAAACGAGTTTATGAAATATTTTAATCATTTATTAATTTTATTATAACAAAAATTTCCTAAGTGGATTGGATGATTAATTTTTTGATTGAAACTCCTTACAATAGAATGATAGATAAATTAAATTATTCCATGAACTTATTTTGATTTTTATCCCATTTTAGCATGCAATTCAAGTTCGAAGGGATACCCCATTTCTTGAATGAATTTAAAAAACAATAAAATAAAGGTAGAGTAATCTTTTTAAAGAAGGAATCATATTTTAATATTAAAATGATTTTGAATCATGAAATAATTTTTTTATTATATTATTTTTTTGTAGTTGAGTGTAAAAAACCTCAAAACGTATATTTACATCTCACAATTTTCCATATCATAATTGTTTTGAAGTGATTTCTCTATTTGGTTGAATAAAGATGATTTGTCTCGTGATAGTTTGATCTTACATTATTGGAATAAGAGATAAAAGAAGTATGACAAAGGTCAATTTTATAATAATTCTATTCATATTTGGAAATATTAATTTTTTTATGGTTCCTTGTATAAGTTGAATATTGCATCAATGATTTCCTTATAATTAAAAAATAATGAGAACATAAATGACTCGACAATATAAAACCCGAAAATTTGGGCATTAAGTATCATAAACACATCTAATAGCTAAGTTGATGTGTGTCCGATTTAGGATTCAACGCGCGTCCTGCGTTAAAAAATTGAACGTGCGTTGAATTCACGTTCTATGCCGTTAAACGGGCGTTAGACGGGATTTGAACAGGTTCCGCGAACCCCTATTTCTCGGGTTTGAGGGGGGGGGGTCGGGATTTCGGAGTGCCTGAGGTGGTGTGGTGGCCTCTTGGGCACCACCTCATGCATTCAGAACTGAATTAAAAAAAAAAACATTCAGACATCGCGCAGACACTGCGAGGCGTTTTCGGGGTGCCTTTGGGGACGCGGGCAGCTTCGGGAACGACTATAAAGCGGGCCATTTAAGTCCGCCACTCTCATTTGCCGCGTGGGGGTCGGGATTTCGGAGTGCCTGGGTGGTGTGGTGGCCTGTTGGGCACCACCTCATGCATGCAGAACTGAATTGAAAAAAAAAACATCCAGACGTCGCGCAGACACTGCGGGGCGTTTTCGGGGTGCCTTTGGTGGGGCGAGCAGCTTCGGGAACGACTATAAAGCAGGCCGTTTAAGTCCGCCACTCTCCTTTGCCGCGCGATCCAAAGCTCTGGACGCGATGAACGCGGGCTTACACGACGTCCAACGCACATGAGAGAGCAAGAGAGCGCGCGCGCGCGAGAGAGAGAGAGAGAGAGAGAGAGAGAGAGAGAGAGAGAGAGAGAGAGAGAGAGAGAGAGAGAGAGAGAGA